ACATATCTAGAAACTAGAAAATCATATGATTTTTTTAAAGAATTTATTTGCAAATTACGGTGGAAAATAAGAATTAGGTCAATAACAAACAAGTCAGATTTCTGTCTCTCATATCTGTAACTTCTTCTTCAAGAAGTCCTCCAGAGTTCCTGCAGATCCTTAAAAAGTCTTAAAAGTCATTGAATTCATCAATCCAAAAAAGGCCTTAATTAGCCTTAAAATGGCTTAAATCAATCTTTCAGAAGTCTTAAAAACATTAACACATTGTAAATATGATGACTGTAATTCATCTCAAATATTAAAATAATTGCTAACATTTTTTTATATTTACATGCAAACATTCCCCTTTCACATCACTTCCTGTAGATGCAAATATCTCCACAACTGTCCATCTGAGCAATGTGAAACTCGTTTTGTAATATGAGAATARTGTTGTCATTTCAGAAATGCAATAACTGTTCTTATAAAATTTGATGTCACAGGCACTTAAGGTTTCATCTATAGCAATTTGGGGTTAAGACCCCACTATGGGTCCTAAAACTCCAAATTTTGGGTCAYTAAAGTGACTGCTAAGAAAGTTTTGCTATATTTGATGAAAAAGCAGTTAGGTATGGAAAAAAACAATTAGCAGTATTTGAATACTTCAACCAAAAATACTTTGATTTATGAGTTTCTGCTAAAACTTAATTTTTTTGTCATTTGTGTTTATTATGAAATTGGTCTTAAATTTAATTTCAGCTGGCATTAAAAAGTCTTAAAAAGTATTTAATTTAACTTGCTTTAAACTGTAGGAACCCTGTCCTCTGTCCTCCTCTCATTATCTGTAGTAAAGGCACCTGTTTAAACTTGTTATCTGTTTAAAGACACCTGTTCACAACCTCAAATGGTCACACTCCAAAAAACTCCAGTATGGTGAAGACCAAAGAGCTGTCTAAGACACCAGAAACAAACTGTAGACATTCACCAGGCTGGGAAGACTGAATCTGCAATAGGCAAGCAGCTTGGTGTGAAGGAATCAACTGTGGGAGCAATGATAGAAAATGGAAGACCTACAAGACCACTGATAATCTCCCTTCATCAAGGGCTCCACGCAATATCTCACCCCGTGGGRTCAAAAACTACTGTCAGTAACACACTACACCACCAAGGACTCAGATCCTGCAGTGCCAGACATGTCCCTCTGCTTAAGCCAGTACATATCCAGGCCCGTCTGAAGTTTGCTACAGTTTGCATCTTCTGAACGTTCCAGAGGAGTACTGGTAGAAAGTCATATGGTCAGATGAAACCAAAGTAGAACTGTTTGGTAGAAACACAACTCGTCATGGTTGGAGGAGAATGAATGTGGAGTCACATCAGAACGCCATGCCAACTGTGAAGCATGGGGGTGGCAACATTATGCTTTGGGCTGTTTCTCTGCAAAGGGACCAGGACGACTGGTCCGTGTACATGAAAGAATGAATGGGGCCATTTATCGTGAGATTCTGAGTGCAAACTTTCCATTAGCAAGAGCAATGAAGACGAAACGTGGCTGGGTCTTTCAGCACGACAATGATCCCAWGCACACTGCYAGGGCAACAAAGGAGTGGCTTTGTAAGAAACATTTCAAGGTCCTGGAGTGGCCTAGCCGGTCTCCAGATCTCAAACCCATAGAAAACCTTTGGAGGGAGTTGAAAGTCCGTGTTGCCCGCCGACAGCCCCAAAACGTCACTGCTCTAGAGGAATGGGCCAGCATACCAGCAACAGTGTGAGCCAACCTTGTGAAGACTTACAGAAAACATTTGACCTCTGTCATTGCCAACAAAGTATATATAACAAAGTACCAAGATTAACTTTTGTTATTGACCAAATACTTATTTTCCACCATAATTTGCTAATAAATCCTAAAAAAAATCACAACGTGATTTTCTAGACATGTTTTCTCATTTTGTCTCATAGTAGAGRTCTACCTAYGATGTCAAGTTACAGGCCTCTCATCTTTTTAAGTGGGAGAAGTTGAACAATTAGTGGCTGACTAAATACTTTTTTCCACACTGTAGCTAACTTAATATGTTCAGCTAATATTGACAAAATTTTTGTGTGAAGGCGGAGGAAAGAATTTTGCTACAAAGGCATATTATTAACGTTAGTGACGATAAAAGTTTAAAGTTGTCCCATTGTCTCTGAAAGTGAAGCACTGCCGAATATACAAGTTGCTGTACGCTTTCTCCTGGTTGTTGTTGTTTTACAATATTATTTATGAATAATGTAGCCAAACATTTTTACTTAAAATTTTGAAGACATCTTTTATTGCTCCCAGAGRACCACTGCTTACTTTCCTGGAGTCCTGAGTGCGAGTGAAGAGAGTGGGGATGGGTGACAGCCGGTAAATAGCAATGAGTCAGGTTTGGATTTGAATCAGTAGCCACATTTCAAATCCAATGAAAGCAWGAATGTTAACTAATAAATTGGACAAAAATCTTGCTATTTAGTGATATTTCCACAGTTGTGGTCTTGAAATAAAATTCGGAGTCCTCAATGTCCGAGACCGAGACAAGACCGAGTACAAATGCTGTCGAGTCCGAGACAAGACCAAGACCATCAAAAAGTGGTCTTGAGACCRGTCTTACCAAGACCGCTTTCAAGTACTACAACACTACTTGACGCTTGCATTGTTGTYGTATTTTCCAAAAGGACCTGTGGCAGTACACATTATAACTTGTGAAATGTTGTGAATAGGAGAGCAAAAGCTTGACAGACAAACAATTTCTGCCTCCCTCCATTCATTTGTAATGACAATACCCAATGAAGACAAAGTATAGAACTCATTCTTGAAGGTGGATAAATAGGGGCTGCCATTCAARTGAATGGAGGCAGAGGAATGCATTGCTTTGCTGTCCTCTTATTCATTTGAATWGGCAAGCACTAATGGCGATTCAGAGTCCAGGCAGAAGCTGATAKTAATCCTGCTTTCTGTCAGTAAACAAATGTTTACCTCTTTGAGAAAAGGAGACTCCACCCCCAAGTATTTGGAGACTACATAGAGGCAGAAAAGGTGTCGGTCGATCCCAGCTCCAGTCATGGCCAGTCGATAAAGGTTTTGGTGCTTCTCAGAAGCCTGTCGGAAGAGACGTCTGCATTCTTCTTCTGTCTGTAAACAAKTTCACATTTTAAATCAAGTGTCTAGAATTATACACGCAAGTTGTCAAACAACAACTTAGGCACATAGATTCCATTTTTTATCTTTTAGCTTCTACAGTAATTAAGGCTTTCATAAAACTGATGGAAGTTCAGGTTTGAGTTACCATCCTGTCTAGTAYGCTGTAAAGCTCCACCATGTTAGAAAACATTTTTACTTTTTTGGATAAGTGAATTTTTTACATCTGAATTTGGGTAGACACTGTGGCGAGCAGGAATATAAAATGCATCATTACCTCTCCACCCTCCAGGGCTTTGACGAAGGCACAGCTCTCATTGGAGCAGGATCTCACAGTCTCTGTTCGGCCCTCCCGAAACAAACGGGTCATTGATGCCTCGTATGTCAGACAGAATCCACCACGATCCTGCAAAGTGACAAAATATGAAATTTAGGGTACTGAAGTTTTGCAGATTGATGTTTTGCGACATGCTATTTTGTTTGTCAGACCTTAAACAAATGTGTGCAAAATTATTTCAAGGACGGAACATGTTCACCACTGTGTGAGCAAATAGTCCCAACAGTTTAAGAATGTTTCTTAATGTACAATTTCAAGGAATTTAGAGATTTCATCTACGTCTCATGAAGTTTCTTTACTGAAATGCAATAAATGTTATTTGTTACCCTGTAGTATGCCAGCTGTAGGCTGATCTGTATGAAAGCATCAGGGCTGATCCGGCACTTCTTGATCTGACCTTTTCCAAAGTCTCTGAAGGGAAACACATGGCAGTCCACATCKTCCGCCAATGCCTGGGCAACAGCCAGGGAGCTATAGATCTGAGTCTGAACCTTAAGGACAAATGCAGATAAACTGTTACTGGCATCTACTAACAAAGATTTAGCTGAGTTCCCAAAAGACAAATAGGTCTTCAGTTTAGCTGAGCTCAGTACTACTGTATAAAATCTGTTAAGCTCAATACACAAGTGATGCTTTTACTAAGAATAAAATGGTAAATAACATGAACTTGTATAGCGCTTTATCCAGTCCCTGCAGAGTCCAAAGTGTTTCACACTACAGTCATTCACCCATTCACACACTGA